GACGTCTTCCAGGGGCCACGTGAAGATACCTTTGCTCTGTGCAAATCTCTGCAGCCCATTTTGAATAACAGAAGTGTGAAACCCTCCACTCCTCCCCACCACTTTCCTCCCGAGAGTGTCTTGTAACTTCCTGGCCACAGCCCGGAATCAGCCCGTTGTGAAATGCAGCCATTTATCAGACAGCCACAGTCAAAAGAAGCAAGTGCCACTTTGTGTCCTGGGATCTACACGTGGGGAGAACCCTCAGCAACACAGATCTCCCATCTCCCAGAAAGGGCTGTGCCGTGTCTCCAAGAAACAGTCCCATGGACGGCTCTCTAGCTCGGGGATAAGCCAGGATAGGAAAGTGTTAGCAAGTGCTTTGTGCTTCAGAGCTTCTGTCAATTTCCAGCTGTTAGAGACCAGTACGAGGCCTAACATGAGCAGCAGTTTATCCTCCCACATCTGCTACCTTTGGGGTCTTACACTGCCCCATGCAGCAGCTGGCTCTGACCCACCTCAGAGACGGGATACACAGGACCAGATTCACTTCTTTGGCTATTCTTATGCTCCTAAAGTGGCTGCTTCCCTGCTCCCAAAGGCATGTCCAAAGAGACAGGGAATCCCCTTTAAATGGCCGTGCGGAAGGAGTGAACTCCCAGTGCATCGGGGCAGGGGAGAGCGACAACGAAACTGGCCTGAAAAGCAAAACCTGGCCAGTGAGGACTCATCCTGTGTAGCCGGCACAGAAGGAGTTTACTAATCATTTCCTGCCAATGAAATGCAGCGATTTTCAGTGCAGCCAAGTTTGACGTGAGCCAAATCTCCACCAGGCACAGGGCAGAGCAGCCGCCTTGTCGAGGGGCGGGCCCTCGGGGCGTAACCTAATCCGGCCCACGGCCTCTGATTGAAATGGCAGCATTTTAAAAACAAACAGGGGTTGTAACTGCACTCGGTAACCACAACACTGCCTGCCATGCCGCTCGCTGCCCGGCGCACAGGAAGCCTGGCCCATCAGCACATCCCACACAGTTATCGTATTACAACGAGTAGCGCGCCGAGCAGCAGCCCACAGCCAGACGGGGCCGTGGGGAGCCAGAGCCACATGGGCCGCAGCACTCTCGCTGGGCTGCCGTGAACCCCGAGAGACAGGGCGAGGCCAGCCCGCCAGTGCCGAGAGCAGGAGCAGGCGCGCCGGGGAGTTGGGAAGGGACCAGCGACCGGCCCTGAGCAGCAGATGGCATCGGCCCACAGATCCCAACAAGCCTGCGGGCAAAGCGGGCGGGGCCTTAATTGAGTCCGAGGAATTAGAGACGGTCATTTAGAGCAGGGGGTTTCGAAAGACGGGGCACAGCCCAGGGCTGGGGGTGGGATGTCGGGCGCTGGGTCTCGTGGCTGCAGGGGGATCAAGTGACCAGTGGGGATGTTAAGGCAGCTTCCCTGCCAAGGTGAGGCACAGATCCTACTCAACGCCCAGGTAGTGACCTTCCATCAGACAGTCACTCCCAAAGGCCTCTTGGGTATGGCCGAATTCATGAAAGCAGCAGGACTCCTCCTCCTGGGACCAACCACACTACCCATTCTCCACTCTGTCCTGTAATGCCCTCCTGCACTTCCCCCCGCCCCCGATCCTCCAACAGCTCTTGCAATACGTCATCCCATCCCTTCCCATGACCCACACAGCCCGCCCCTGGACCTCCATTCGGCAGCTGGTCCTTGAATCCAGGCATGCCTGAATTTGGAGGAAGTTTGATCTGGGTCTAAAGCACTGGTGGGCGACCTGTGGCCCGTGGAGTTCTGTATGTTGCCCACAAGACATTCTGTTACCGATGCCCACGTGCAGGGTTGCCAGATTCTGCATCTGGGTAGTGTTTGTCCAACCAGTGTTACTACCGTGACCCACACGTAAAGCCAGAGCCAGCGAAGTGAAGTGGGTGCTGATTACATACCACACTGACTGAGAGCCGGGCGCTCCCTCTGCATCCAGTCAAAGCTACGGTTCAACTCCCCCTTTTCTCCCGCAAATTCTAGCTGCAGAAGTGAAGTTGGTAAAACTACCCCACCCTGGGAGACCGTCTCGATTCCGACAATCTTGCAGGCCACTGAGATGGAGGAGGATCACTCATGTGGCCCACTCACTAGCCTAGGCTGCCCATCGCGGGTCTAGAGCGTGTGGTTTAGTTGCGGGTTATGTCTAGTATACGGGTATGTCTACATCGCATTCCTCTTTCGAAAGAGGAATGCAAATGCAGACAAATGAAATTGCAAATGAAGCGCGGATTTGAATTTCCCGTGCTTCATTTGCATAATTGCGTCCGGCCGCCATTTCGAAATACCCTCTTTCGAAAAAAGAAACGCTGTGTAGACGCGGTTATTTTGAAAGAAACCCCTTCTTTCGAAATAACCCTTAAACCTCATTTTATAAGGAGTGAGGGTTATTTCAAAAGAAGGGCTTCACACACACACCCCACTGCTTCCACGAGCCGCTTACCTGAGCCAGTGGCAGGCCAGATGGTGAGCCCCATCCCCAGCTATCTACTGCCTTGGTGGTGTGGCTGCCCCCAGTGGTCACTGCAGTCCCCTAGCTTGCTGTTCCCAGTGGTGACTGTGAGTATAGCACCCCTCCATTCAGCCCCCCCCCCTTCTGTGTCATGGAAAACAATCGAATCCCAGCCACATCCCGCTTTCCTGGCACAACCAAACCCTGACCTTGCTTTACGTTATGATAAGAGAAAGCTGCTTGCCGAATTGGCTGGTCCTAGCTCTCACCATTTAGGAGGCTTTCTTGAACAAACGGACTCACAGAGGTTGCATTTAGGAACGTCCGGAAGATCTTCTGAAGCTCCCATCGAGAACGGGAGTTGTTGGGTGCTAAACACTTTTGAAAATCTGGCCCCATTGGTGCTGGAACAAGTGGCATAGGGGGAGCTACAGTACCCCCCCGACTTGAGGTAGTTTCCATTATACAAGGTTTATAGTATGGTTCAGTGGCTGTCAGCACCCCACTATAAAAATTGCTCCAGCACCCCTATCTAACCCACCAGATCTTGTTTTTCTGGGGACCTTCTTGCATGCCATATTCACTCCCACATCCCTTTTCATGTCATATTTAAAAGGCAGTAAGACCAGAACTGTGCCTGGGATTTCTTCTTTTTTTTAATACATAAGTTAAAGACACCTGTGCATACCATGGCCCACCAGTGTGACCTTACCCTGGTAGCTTGAGAATCGGCCTCTCAAAAAAAGTACATGCAGAAACTTGTGAGTAGACTTGGGCACTCAGTTTGTACACCCAATTACCAGCAATACACATGTAACTGCTATCATTTCAAGTGCAAGTGACCAATTTTTAGACCCATATCTGGTCAGTTGCACATTGCAACTAATTCCCAAGCTTTTGTGCCCAATCTCAGCGACATTGTGTGCAGATTACACACAGAAATGTGTATGTATTTTGGCACTTCCATTTTGCATGCATTCAATTTTAACTCTTAGTCAGCATCAATGTTCCCTCTAATCTTTTCCATCCATGTGCGGATTTTTTATAGCCAGGTGTGGAATAATTTTTTTGACGTGCACCAAGGCTTGGAATAGAAACCCAAAAGCTAGCTGTGGGCACTCCGCTAATCAGCTGGGCGGCACTTGAATCTCTCCTGAGCAGTCACACAAGGGCACAGCTTCTAGGGAACACTGGCTGAGGTTGGTCCCTTGTGCTGATCGATTCTTTCCCCACCAAATGGTATATTAGGCACATCTAGCAAATCCCTTTAGCTGATGAACCAGGCTTGCCCAGTGTATTTAGTGGTCCACAGGAAAGCACTGCTGGGAGATGCTTCCTGTATGGCAGCAGGGGAAGGGTTAAGAACACTGGTCTTATCTGTGGCTCCCACATCACCTTTGCCAAGGAGAAGCTGGTGACTCCTGAAAGCTGGGAGGCAAAAGTGACTCACAAAGCGGAGCTCAGAGCTAATTTGCAACAGATGGTAGAGATGATGCCGCATCTGACCCAACACTGACTAGGCAAAGATGGGTCTACGTCTCTGACTTACAGAGCTGCAGATTGACCTGCTTGTTGCAGTGTGTCTACCCTCCTTCTCCCCCCATTATCAAACCACCATTCCACAATTTGCTGGGCTTTTCCTGCTGTGACAAAGCCAGCTCTGGCATGTGCCAGCCAGGGTCACCCCCCACAAGCCCTGCTGCTCTTACTAGGGGCACTTCTTGGCTCTCTCCAGTCACACCAGGACCAGGAAAAAATGAGTCTGGTACCTTCCCAAAGGCCTTGTCTACATGAGAATACGTTTTCCAGTCTAGATAGCCATACCAGTAAAGCCTTGTAGGGTTATGGAGATAAATTCCTAGGAGCCAGCAGGTCAAAGTGTGGGAGAGAGAGCATGGGCTCTGGTGGGTGGGGCTAGGAGGGGTCTTGCCTCCCCAAGCCATGGGGTCACCCACCTCCCCATGATGCTGGGATCACTGGGAAGGTTTTGTCTGGTCTGGCTGGAAGAGGATAGATTGGGCCAACCTCTGGCCTTAAAACCTAGTAACCCTTCCTTTCTCCCCCAGCGCAGAGACAGAAGGCAGGAGCCCTGGGTTTGAGAAGGGAACGTGGGGGAGCTCACGAAGCCTTTAGACAGAGGAACTGAGATCCTGGAGCTGCCCAGCGCTACACCAGGGGGACTAGCTGTACTTTGGGCTCCCAGCGGGTTTTCCCTGTCAGCCGGGTGCTTGTGCGGCTGCTCAGGAGAGATTCCAAGGCTGATCCGCAGAGTGGGTGTTTTGCTTCTCCTGGTGGTGCACCCCCGCACGTGCCCGGGTGCACAGAGAAAAAAAAATATTCCGCACGCGGAGGGGAAGGATTAGAAGGCACACGGGTTGCAGGCTGTTTCCCCCGCTGAGAAATGTCCCTTTCCCC